TAAATATGAAAAGTTACAAATATTTTACTAAATGTTGTAAAAAAAATGACTCGAACAAACATGTTTTTGTAAGGTTTTGAGCTAAATGTGGAAAAATGTTGCCGTTAATTTCAGCATGTTTCACTTTACAAACGGCGCCCCATAGTGGAGAGGTAGACTTTTTTTTTTAAACTTAAAGTGTAATAGTGCAATCAGTGATGGTTTAACACTGAGATCAAGTTTTTAGCTGCTTAATTTTATGACATGCTCAGTTCTTAGAGCGCAGTCACAGATTAAAGGAATTAAAGCAGAACCTTTGGACCCTGCTGCCTTCACTTGTTAGATATTAAAAGAGGTGTTCAGTGCCATAGCAGCCAGACAGCTAATCAGCTACTGAATAAAATGCCAGCTATATCTTCACAAGTTCTTTCACATTACAACAAAACTTAACAATTTAATGTAATTGGATTCAGTTCTTGCAAAAACGGACACTCTAATGCAGGCTGTAACCTCTGCTTTACTTTTTCAACTGTTATTAGACCAACAATTATTTCTCCTTTTTTCTATGGGAGTCAAAAAGGCCACTTATCTACAAGGCCAAGCTTCAAGTGGCAGCAGCTCAATATGTCAAGAGGTCAAAATCATTTTAACTTAATGTATTTAATTTCAAACTGATGCAACACCATCAATATCCAGTAGCTCCGAAAGTTGCTATAAGTTTGCAAGGATCAACTACATGCAATGATAAACCTCAGGAGCCCTGTAAAAGTACTTAAAAATGATTACAGGAGCCACATCAGTACATCAGTCAGGTTTTTTTCTGTCTTTCATCACAAAGCAAACACAAATAAACAACCATCCAGGCTTTTAGGAAAACATTATTACCAACAAACATTTATTGCACAGTCAGATTTAATCAGTGCAGTGTAATTGGTTTAAAGGTACAAAGGACAGTCTTTTTTTTTTTTTAATTTAATAGGAAAAAGAATATTGTAGTTGTAGATATACACTGATTAGTGGGTAATTGCATCTTCCAACAAAGGGATCTTAAACTTAGAATTAATCCACTAAAAATCCACAGGAGCATGGACGGCTTGTAA